GGATCATATACTTTGAGATATTCTCAAAGAAATGCTTTGATCATAACTGTTGGCTTTTTCCATCATCGTTTATCTTCGGGATCAGAGACTTTATCAATATTGTATACTTTAAAAAACATATTATTGTTTTGCACTGCTTTTAATAATAATAATCAGTAGTTCCAAGCTGCAAAGCCTACTGCAAAACACTAGGTTTCACCTTTGGTGCCCATACTTTCTTGGTCCCAGGTGCATTAGTCAAAGAAGATCTAAGGTGATTATCTTTAGATCCTTTCAACCTATCAAAACAGAAAGGTTCTAAATGACATATCCTCTTACCGTGATTGCACTTATATATGTGATACTTCTTTCTTTTATGATATAGTATTTCTTTCTTAAATCATATATCATTTTTATTTGAAGAGTATCTTTGACTAGATAAAATTAGGTCAAACTTTTTTTTTCCTTGGGTAAATTTTCTTAGGGTTTCTCGTAGGTCAAATGCTTCTTTTATAAGGGGATCAAATCAATTATATTCTTATTTCATACTTCTAAGCTTAGTTATTTCAATTTTGAAAGAATTGTTAATTCTTAAGGTGTCTAAGGGATTCCTTAAGAAATGGGGTATGCTCTCTTAGTTTAGTATTTTCTTTCTCCAATTGATCACACATTCTAAAGAGTTATTCATAAGGTCGTTTGATACCTGGAATAGTATCTCCCTCGTAAGATGCCTTTAAGAAAATTTCATTTTCTTCATTAGAAGAACACCTTTCCATATTTCTCTATGAGGTTGTTGTTTCTCCTCCTTTTTATGTTCGAATATTGAAAAAGCTTATTCATATTCTTTGTCATTCCTCGAACAAGAGGATTCTTAGTTTGATGTTGAATCTTTCGAAGATTATTCAACTATTGAGTATGTTTTTTCAGAGGATTGCACAAGAGTTGTATGATGGAAGTAAGATGAGGATGATGATACTTCACTTTGGATTCCTTCATCTTTGAGTAGTTGAATTTGGTCGTTCATCTTCTCTACAATTTCCTTCATTCTTGATTTTTCCTGAAATTCATAAAAACTCCCATAGATTAATTTAAGAGTTAGAATAAACTTCTAATTCTTAATTCTAATATATTCTTTAGTAACACAGTTCCCAATATATTTTCCACCTGTTTTAGATTTAGAAAAACAACCATGACTGGTATCTACATCTTTTTCGCCTCGTGAGTCTATATTCTCTCTTGTATGATACTTGAAGAGACTTCATGTATCTTTTCAAGAGAATTCCAAATTTTCTTGGCAGTTTTACAATGACTAACGTCATAGAGTTTACTATCATCTAGAGACATTATTTTAAATTTCTTTGTTTTAAGATGTATACCTATTTTTTTTCTTTTCCTCTTCGGTCTAAAGGGAATAGAGGTTTTCCACTACTTCATAATTTAACTAATACATTCTTTAAATCTAAAAAAAGTAAATGAAATGAGAAACTTACTAAATTAAACTATGGATGAAATGAGAAACTTACTAAATTAAACTATGGATGAGTAGGGTTTGAAATGACTAGAAATCACATTTAAGATAGTTTATCCATAATGTATTAGTTGTTTTTTTTGGCTAAAAATGATTATCAAAACAATGTTTTTTGAGCTTGCATGTGGTACATTACGCCATTGACGCAACTTTTGAGTTGTAGAAAATTCCGGAGATACATCTCCGGAATTTCCTGCAATATTTTTTATTTATTTTCTTGCTTGTGTGTTATTTTCCCGCACTAATGGCCTACCTTACTTTAACTTACTGGTATAATGACTAATAAACATGATAAATTGAGGCATGACAGGGTTGCTTAGCATGCTTATGTTCGGTGGGAGAAGAGTTAGTAGGTTCCGGAGACTCTTGGTCCCTCTGGTCAGGCAGAATTGTATACTTCTAGAGCTAGTGCTTCTCCTCATACCACTCCATCTTCTTCTCGTAGGAGATGAGATTCACCATCTAACGTATCACTCTTCCATCCTTCCGCAAGCGTTAGGTTTCACTAGTGCCACCTCCTACCGATGATGCTTCTGATCTAGTCCCACCTCCTATCTCACTTCTTATTGATGATGATGTTGATCCAATGCCATCTCCGACGAGTGAGGATGCTATGGATGTAGAGCTAGATGCTTTTGAAGGAGGTCCAGTTGGTTTGTCCTTACCGCCTCTGTATCTAGACCATACTTCCAGACATATATGAGGCGAAGAGGTAACATTAGTTGAATTCTTTATTTATTTTTACGTTAATTTTAATTTCTAACATTGATTATTTTTTACATTAATTATTTCTAACAAATTTTAGGAGCGTGATCCCCAAAAGTTTCTTAACCATGGGAGGAAGATTGCTGCTTTGCCTCAACCAGATGAGGATTGATATCAACCAATTTTATCCTTATTTAGCCTGAAGGACTTGTGCATGACCACTTACACTACAGTTAACAACGAGATGCTTAATGCATTCGTGAAGAGATGACACTCGGAGACCTCTCGTTTCATCTTTCGAATAATGAGATGTCTATCACACTTGAAGATGTCTTGTGTTTATTACATCTTTCAATTAAGGGGGATTCCTAGATCATGGAAGGATGACCAAAGACGAGGCACTCGAGATTATGGTAGAGTATCCGAGGGCTGATATAGGGGAGGCGAAGAAGGATTTGGATAAAACCAGGGGTGCTCATGCTAGATTTGAGTTCTCGAAGACGCTATGTGAGGATAAGATCCTTAGAGAACAGAAGACTGATGGTAATGATGAGTAGGCGGTGTTCCATAAATCGCATGCATTGAGAGCATACCTACTTTATTTGGTTGACACTGCGATTTTTGTGGACAAGAATGCCATTTATACTAACGTTGTCCACCTACGATACTTCTTGGATTTTAACCGGATCCATGAGTATAACTGGGGGTGGTTTGCTTGGTCTATCTGTATTCGAAGTTGAGAGATGGTTGTATGTGAAAGACGAAGCAGGTCATAAGCAGCATGACACTATTGACGGTAATAATTATTGGTCTTTGAATATTTTTTTTGTCATTTTAATTTCATATTTGCAAAATAATTACCGATGATTCGTGTGTTCCAAACTTTTGATTTCAGGGTTGGATCCTTTAGCACTTCCTGAACATCTCTGGCTGAGCGAATGTGCCTAAGTACACCGAGGATTTTCCGCGTGCTATTGCTTTTATCCTGCTCAAAGGGAACCAGGCGGTCGAGCCTTTTAGAGTCTATCTTAAGCATTTGGTTGTTGAGGACATATACTTCAACATCTATTTTTATCACCGTCAGACGCGATCATTTGATGAAATAATGCTATACTTTAGATGGTTGGCCTGCAAATTACGTCTCACTGCTTCTCATCTGCCCGAGCACGTCATACAAAAATTCGACTACACTCAGACCATTCCTAAACATCCTGATGTCTCTGCTCTTCCTGTTTTGACACATAGACAGATAGATGGCATATTTAGTGGTTATGAGAGTCATTTGGTACCGGAGGAGGCACATGCTACCATGGTTGAAAGTGACTGGAGCTACGCGGAAAGGTGCATCAAATAATTCTTTAGGGTGTCACATTCGTACATGGTGCATGTTGCTCTAAGAGATCCATCAAGATCAGCTCATCAGGAGATACTAGAGGAGGAGCAGACACAACTAGATCATACTAATGATGTCTTGCCTAGGTGTCGTTGCATAGTGAAGATTGCGTAGGCAGATATTGACACAAGTATATTCCTTGATAGGTCTGATATCAGGTGAGTCCTAGATGCCATCATGACGAAAGCACATGAGGCATTGTCGTACTGGAGACATCGCCGGAGGACAAAGGAAATTAATGACCGAGGAGGTAGACGGGACATGGGAGGTAAAAAAGAGGTTGTCACACACACAATAGTCTCTTATTACAACGGTCTTACTATTTTATTTTAACGGTCTTACTACTTTATTAATCTCGACTGTACGATATTTTTGACATATATTTGTATTTTATTTTTGTATGGTATTTTTGGTCCATTTGGAATTATGTACGTCTATTTTTTTTTTTTTTAATTTTCAATTGTACAATATGTTTAAATTTTTATCTAAACACATATAAACAACATATAACATGAAATGTCTGTTCTGATACGTTTTAGAGATGTATCTCCAGAATAATCACGAAGATGCATCTCTAGTACAATTCAAATGTAAATGACTTTTGAGTGAGATGTATTGAATGTTTTAATTTGTTCAGAAGATGCATCTTTGAAATATATGTTAATGTTTATTCAAAAATTGGTGCGCCGAAGATGGATCTCCAAAAATATCTCCGAAAATTAGAGACATTTAAATAATTTTGCGTGGTGATTAAAAACTATTAAGGATGAATTAAGAGCATAATTATCGGTGGATGTAAACCATTTCTACACATATTCCAAAGTCATCATGTCAGAATTAAATGGATATTTGAGAAAAAAAAACGTTCCTACATTTGCATACGTTCTCACATTTGAGAACGTTTCTTTCCTGTACTTTCCTATTCAATTAATATTAAAATATTATATTTCAAAGGTCAATAATTATATGGACATTTATTTTGGAAATTGGTGGGATCCATTTTAGAGTTTTTAATGAGTTGTATGGATATTTAAAATATGTAATTGAGTTGTTTAGAAAATATAGAAGTGTAATATAATATAAAAAATTATGTAGGTCCCGTTTAAAGAACAAAAATGTGGTTGATGAGTGTGAATGCTCTAAGAAACTCTCGTAAGTTTACCTAGACCAGCCCAACTCAAGGAAAAACGGGCCTACAAATTGACAGGCCCAATAAATTTCACATTCATTCATTTCTCTTCTAACGACCCTGAAAAGCTTAAACCCTGAGAAACCAGAACGAAACCTGTAATTGTTATTTCCGTGTTTCGACTGAACTGAATCAATCAATCAATCATCGTTCATCCCTGATCAGTTAGGTTGAATTCTAATGCTTGTGCATCGAAGTTGAATACAATGTCTTTGAAGCGATTACAACTAGCTCGCACACTCTATCGTTCGTCTCAGATTGGACAAGAATCTTTACCCAATCTGTGAGTAACACTACCTTGCTCGCTTTCTCATAATATTTATTTGAATTTTATTTTCACAGTTTGAAATTAATGTCATTATGCACATTTTCGTTGCGTTTGAACTATGATTTTTCAGTCTTGGTAGCTGCAGGAGCTATTCCAATGCTTTAGCAAACGGTAATCTCTTTCAATATAGATTTTGTTGGAAACTGTAATTTGAGTTTGAATATGAACTTGACTTTAATCTTTATGTGATTTGTGTTTGATTAGGTTCTGATTGTAGCTTTAAGGGTTTACATCCCTGTTTGTTTAAAGGCAACGATGGATTTTCATTAGCTAGTGTTAAAAGTTTGACACTTCAATCTACAATGGTAATTGATGGATTTGAAACAAATTGATTTTAATCTTCTGGGGGGTTTTGAGTTAGGTTTTGGTTTCCTGATTTTTGTGTCTATTGCTATGTCTTTCGTAGGCTGCGGAGTTTTCCATTTTCATGAATGATAGAAGGATGTCGACTATTGTATCCAAAACCCCTACTGCACAAGTGCGGAGTGTGGTAGGCTCTCTTGAATTTCTTCGCTCAGCGTGTACTTTTTGTATTGGATTGATGAAATTTACAGGATGATTTTTGTGTGTGGAGGATTGTACATGTTTTTCTTAGGAGCTATGCTCTTCTACTTTTTAGATTTAAGTTCTTACTAGTTATGGTTTAGGGAGATGTTATAATGTTTTCAGTTGATTTGTTAGTATATCTCATTATCTCTCACTTGTGCCCTTATAGTATTCCATATTATATACCAGTTATTTTATTATTTTTTAATTGAATTATTCCAGATTTAACCTCATGTTTCCATGCTTTACCAAACCTAAGATGCATCTCCATCTTATATATTTTTGACTTTTCATCTTGGCCATGAACTGTGCATCTTAGACAACCCTCTTATTTAACAATTGCTTTGCCATTATATTGTATCGCTCTGTAGAATTAAGATAAAATAAAAGAAATAATAAAATAAATCTAGGTAGCTGCTGCCTATGATCTTTTTATTTTAAGACCAGGTATTAATTTTCATGCTTTACCAACACATCATTATTGCAGGGAGCACAGATAGCCTTGGCAAGTCCTGGATTTATCTATGAACCTTACGAACCTCGTGAGAAAATCCCATTTTGGAAAAGGTTAGATCACAATGATTTTGTATCTCCATGGATCTAGCTTCTTGTCTCTATTATAATTTCCTTCATATAGCTAGCCCAAATACAATACTGTCCTATATTGTTATATATAAATATTTCCCTAAAATTTAAGTTTGCATATCTTTTCTGGGATTTATTTTAAAATTAAAGCATTTTTCGAGATGTTGCATCTACTTAGAATTGTTTAAATCTTGTCTAGGTATTTTTTTCACCAATTTGACGCGTCTTCAAGACTTGTATAACATTGCAGTTACATATAGACTATTATATTTATCATTATAGCTTTATAGTTATTTTCTATGATGTTTGCTGTTGCAGGTGTTTTACAAGAAGTGGTTGGAAAAGAACGAAAAACGACATAATTCTGGAGGTAATGGTGCTTATCACATATGTTACTTTCTGTTGCACTATCTCCTTATTTTGCAACCTAACTATTTCTATGTTATAACTTCTGTTAATCTAATTTTTTTCTTTCCTACTCCCTTTTAATTTTATCCCCAATCTTGGAAAATTGCAGCATACTATTTATCTAAGTAATATTTTTTAATTATAGAAAATAAAATAAGAGTTAAATTAAATTCATTCCGAAAATACCGAATTCTGGACAATGAGCACTGGCCCTTTTTAATCAAAATTTTCTTTTTGCTCTGCTCCAGCTCAAAAGTGCCTATGCCATTGCAAAGTTAAGAAAAACAGGATATTCAAAGAGTCAGTTCTACAAAGAGGCTATCAGTATGTACAAGGAGGTATATAACTTTTATATTTTGTAGTCTCTGCCAAGCGTTATTTTTTATAAGTCATTCTGCCAACAAAAAGCAACAACTAAAGACTCTTTTCACTAGATGAGGTGTGTTTCACAATTCAAATGATGTCATTATTCTTTCATATATTAATACTGCGTCTGTTCTTAGTTATATGACTGTTTTGGAACATTTGTTTATCTCTAAATTAAAACCCTTTGCAAATTTTTAAATGTATTTATTGCTATTTTTCCAAATATATTCCTTATTAATACTACTACCAATTTATTTTGAAATATGACAAGTCAACATTATATTCTTCTATACACAAAGGGCAATTTAGTAATAGTCATACGCAAATTATACACATTATTACACTACCATCTTTTTTTGTGTTAAAAGTGTCAAAGGGTAATAATGACGGAGGCCGTAATATTTTTCTGATTTCCTTTTACTAATCTATGCTATTAATTAGAAAGCCAATGAGGACAGCATTATTTAAATCCACAAACTAGGGAGCCAAAATCAAACTTGTTTAAAACCAGAGGGATACAATACAATACAACAACTGCAGCCAAGTATTTTTCCCATTGGGTGAGGTCAGCTTCCATCAATCGACTCAATGAATTTACCATGATTTTAGTCCCAAAAGATCTACCCATATGCCTATAGATTTAAAACTAGAGGAATCAAAATTCTATTAGTTTAATTTATAAGTGAAAAACAATTCATAACAATCATGAAAGATTTTACCTAAAAGATACTGTTTTGAAACATGCAAACTCTTAATTTTCCAATTCTCCCCTCTGGCTTCATAATAGAATCATATATTTTTACCAACTAGGACAATTTATAATGATTAGTTCTTGCTGGTTTCCTTCTTTTACCATGTAGTATGCATTTCATTCTATTTAAGCTTTCTCTTGCTCCACTGTTTCATTTGTGCATACTTTTTTGGCTCAATGCTAAAATTTATTTTTCTTCCATGCAGATAAACACACTAATAGCTAATGGAGACAAAAAATCATTAAGGAAAGCAGTTACCGAGAAGATGTTTTCTGTATGCTTCAGTTCCTTTTTGTGATTTATTTTAGCTAAGATACAGCTGTGTACATTTTTCATCAATAATTTTCAGAGTTTTGTTTAATTTACAGACACTTAAGAATGAAATCAAACAACGAGAAACTACATGGAGCGGGGTTTACTGGGAATTGGTTGAGCCTGTTGTTATGATACGAACTCTGCGTGCCCGTATGGTTAGTATTCTTCTTCATTTGCTGTGTTTTATGTAGCATTTTACTCAAGATGATGTGGTGACTCCAAATTCTCCACTTACTGTGATTCTATGTAATTTGTATTTTCTTGCTTGAATCATGATGACGATTTTCTGTAATTTGTTTTTTCTTCCTATTATTTTTTTATGGAAATTTTGTCTATACAGATCGGAGTTGACCGAAATGACACAAATAAAGTATTTTATCAGCTCACTATGGAGATTTTGGCTAAACAAGTATGCTTTATTACATATTAAATTTTGTCTCATTACAGAAAATTTATACCCTTGGCTTCATGAGTACTGGGACTTCAAAAACTTAGGACAGTGAATTGACATTATATTACTTGCAGAAATTTGAAGGATATGATTTAAAAGGTTCTGTTGTTGCTGGAGATAAAAACAAAGAGGTAATTTTAGTCAATTGCTTTGCTCCCATCCTTGTTTGTGTCTGGATATTCATTCTCTCTTCCTTGGCACTGTTACTTACCCCTCAATTTTCCCTTGGTACTAAAGCCATCAGTCGCCATTTTTGATGCCACTCAACCTTTCTTCAGCTATTCTTTTTCTTTCACTTCTCAATATCCATTATTTTCTACACGGATCTGCTCCCTTTTTTTCAATCTCCCTTTTCTCTTCAATTTTCTCTAGGATTTACATGAGTCGAGTCAAATTGAACCCGACTTAGCTTGATAAGAATTCGCTCGACTTGAGTTCGTTTCCGAACCTTTTTTTAGCTCAAACTTGACTCATTTAAAATTCACAAACAACTCGTGTGTTTAATCCACACCATTCAAAAGTTGAATTTTTTCTAGATATTTTACCTTTTAATTTTGTTTTTATGAAAAGGCAAGGATTGAATTGCAACAAGTGTTATTCCAAACATAAGGTGTTTTAAATGTAAACACAACTACTTATATATATAATCAAGTCAGTCAGCATGGTGTTAGGTTTTCTATATTAGATTTTATCAGGCCAACATTTCTGTGGCAAAAAGTTGTGTATTGGGTTTTCTGGTTTATTTGGTTTATTTGGTTGAAGGTTGGGAGAAGAGGGTTTGTTGAGCTAGTGTTGTGTTGAGTTGGTGTTAGGTTTGGGAGGTGAATGGTGGATGGTTTAGTTACCTGAATGAAGGGTCTGTTTGGACCAAGTTGATTAAGTAATGGATAGAAAGAGACGATGAGAGATTTGAAAAGAAGAGGGGCTCGGTTGTAAGTCGAATATCAAACCCTGTTTATATGGGTTCAGAAATATAAGGACAAATTTATGGCTTGAAAATTTTAATGGGTTTGAAACTCTATTTTTCATATTTAGTTTAATATAATTAATTAGAACATACTTTTATTTATTTATTTATTAATATTCACTCTAGCCAAGTGACAAGGATGCTATGCTGTTTAAAAATTGTCACTCGGCTTAAAATTGGAGAAAAACCAGTTGAGAACCGCGGAAACAGAGATGTAGAGATAAATGTGAGTGTCGAAATTGCTTAAAAAAAAACCAGTGGACCAAAATTGTGCATTTAAGAAAGTAGGAGTCAATAGTGTCATTTTCTGTTCTATGAAATGGTAACCTGATATAGCAAAGGAAACTTTATACAGTGTGTGCGGGCATCAGTTAACATTTTCTCACCACCAATATCATTTGTTTTCTCATGCTCATAATCTTACCCTTTATATAAGTGCTGGTGTCACATGTTTTCCAGATTCTTGTCCGTGATATATGGGTGTTTGAGAAGTCTACGTTTCACCCTGGAGCATACTGGCGCCTTTGTGGACGGATAACTCCAAAAGCATCATAGCTATCTTCATCAAAGAAGACACCAAAGTTTATGGTAGTTATATTTGTTCATAAATTGTAACTTATTACTGTTGAGCTGATTTGCCACAAACCTTTTACTTGTTTCCTTTAGATACAAGTTCATCTTAGAGAGATTTTGTTTTAGGAATAAAATCAAATATAGGTATAAACCTACCCAAATTTTGTTTCTTTGAATGAAATTGATTAGGAGATTTTCCCCTTTCTTTTATTCTCTTTACAAATCTTTTTTATTTGTTCAAACTATAATATGTCGATCAAAATAAACCTTGTTTGTGGGAAAGGAATTTGCTAACATCAGCAGCATAATAATTGAGCAGTAAACGTGGAAGAATGGTCAAAGTGATGCCATTCTCCAAAATCCACAATTCATGTCATAAATTAACTATTACTAATTCACATGACAACCTTGTTAATTATTTGGAAGTATTAACCAAATCAAGCTTAAAACTTGTTTGTATTAGTGCTGATTAATTGCTTAAGTATGCTCTTTTGCCACGATATAAACATTGAGTATGGGAAATGCAAACAATCATAGAGATACCTTATATTCTTGCTTTCTACTGTCAGATTCAATAGCTACTTTAGAAAGGTTGAAGACTTCTTTGGTTAACATACCTTTCAAGAAAAGCAAAGGATATCTTCCAAAGATTTTCGATATCTATTTCCCAATTTAGTAACCTACATTCTTACCACGCTTGGGATTAATCTATATTTTTCCCACCTTACCGATTACCACAACACCTTTATCTCTAGATAAAGTTTTAGCAGATGGACCAAAGAGAATTCCATTTTCAACATTTGGGCATCTGCCACAAGCTCTATTATTTTATCACCAAAACTCTGGCTTCTCAAGCTTTGAAGACAGTGACTCTAGGGTGTTCTACACCTTACAATTCAACCTCAACTGCATCAAAAGGTTCTGATTCTGAAGCAAACAAGGTGGTAAGATCAGAGACACCATGTAATAAGGCTGAAGATAAGGATTCCGGGTGCATGAAAATTGATGAGAAGGTTAGAGAAGATGCAGCAAGATTGGCAAAAAAGACATCTCTAAGGAAATCAGTAAGCATAAATGACAATGTGGAAGAGATTCTGCCAAATAAAAAGAACAAAAGGAGGAGCAAGTCCTTCCAAAAATCAAGTTCCCTAGATCAAGAAGAAGAACCAAAACCTCTACGTTCAATTCTGAAAGTGGATTCCGATCTTAAGGACAAATTTAATTCAATTTGTTGATTTATTTATCTCGGTTGAAATAATAATATATGTTATGAAACATCTCTCTGTACATTGAGATTTACATAATAGCTTCTTTCTTTTTATTATTTTAAATAAACGTATATATTGCTCTATCCTCTTTACACTAAATAGAATTTCAATTCTATAGCGATGGCTATATAATTTAGAAGTATTCGCTCATGCGATATTGACACAAGTTAGATAATATGAATAAAAAACAATTCCTTAAACTATGATTATTTCACATATTCATGAATACTAATATACAATCATAAAGGTGCTACAATCAATAAAATTATTCTTTCTATTGAAATTTCTTTTTCTTTTCATTTGATCAAATAAATTCACATTTTAAAAATGAATAACTGAATTAATTGAATGACGCAAATTCGCCAATACATATGATGCTAATGCACATCTACTGAGCGGTGAGCTGTCTTAATAAGGCCTTTCTATTGAAATTTCTTCTTTTTAATAGTCATTATTGAAATTAAAAAAGCTATTGAATGAGTTAGTTAGTTATTAGTTTCAACTTTCAGATTCACCTTCATTTTGAGTATCTTCATCATCATCAGATGATGAAGCAAGTTGATCAAAAAAAGCGTCAAGGTACCAAGAGCATTGATCATTCCAAGCACCTCTTGGTGCAGTTGCACGCCATTTCTGATCAGCAATCATATCAGGAGAAAGTCCCCATTCAAGCATCTCTTCCTCCGTATGATGAACCGCTAAACTATACTCTCCACCACTTCCTTGCTGAATCACGCGAAACTCGCAGTTTCCAAAATTGTTTAGCTGCTCAAATTGCTCCACCGTCCACTTGAACCACTTCATCAAGAAAATCCGCGACGTTAATCCGTGAGAAACTATCACCAGATTCAGATCGTTTGATGGATTGAGATGAAGCCTGTTCAAATCTATGTCTCTCCATAGCGATTCAAAAAAACCTAAAACAATCATATCCAAATCAAGTTAAATCAAATCGAGTGATTCATTGTTGAAATACACGTGCCGTGATGAAAAAAAAAACGGTTACCGGAAATGCGATCAAAAACATCGGCGGCGGATTCGCCTTCAGGAAAGCGATAAAAGAATCTACCAAAACGTTCACGAGTTTCCTTGATGATTTTCATGCGCTCTTGAACTTGGAAGTTAGCAAAATCCTGTTCTCGAACACGCGACTCTTCTCTGACGCCGATCACGCGCTTCTTCGAGAAAGCACGACCGACTTCGCGGAGTGTAGATCGGGTTCGGGCGTAAGGAGATACGTAGAAGTAGAGACGCCAGTCAGGGGAGCAGCCTTCGCCGGAAACGATGCGGCGGAGGTTGGCGCCGGCGAGGCGAGCTTGGGCGATGCCTTGTGGAGTTAACTGAATGCTGTGGTCAGGTGTGGTGGTGTATGCTGACGTGTCAAGGTTTCCTTGAGACTCGCCGTGACGCATTAGTATTATTCTCTTTGGAAGCACACCCATTGTTTTTACCTAACACAATTTCTTTTTTTTCTTCTTCTTTGTGTTTCTCTTGATATTGCTATTTGCTTTCAGATTTTCAATTTCATTGTCTTTTAGCTTCTTTAAATTTATAATTTTTTTTACCAACTGTTAATAAAATCCAATCTGTGTGGGAAAACATTTTGAAAATCGATTCTGGTAAAGCCGCGGCAGCTGCAATATGTAAACGTGTACGACTAATTTATTCCATTTTTGAACAAATTCTGCTATTTTTTATTTTCAAATTTCAAACTATTACCCATGCTGATTTTTTTTTAGAATAACTAGGTTATTGAAAAAAAAAAAACAATTAAATTAAGAATTGAAATTAATTAAAAAAATAGTTAGGTTTCAACATTGGGTCGCCAACCCAAATAGTGATAGTGTGTAAATAAGAAAACAGTCGCCGGAACAAATAGTGATCGAGGCTAATTTTGAATGGATTTGACAATTTATTAAGTGAATCAGCTCAAATTCGTTTTTTTCTTTTTATATATAATTTTTATATATGGTAAAGTTTAGAATGAGGGCTCACTTAAATCCCTCACCAGTGAAACCTAAAATAATTAAGGACAAATTTAATTAATAGTTGCAATTTATTAAATTTGAAAAAGAGAATACATATGCAATTTTACACCTAATCTTATTTCTATCTCTTACCCATTTAAGATTAAGTTTTTTTCCTTGCAGAAATACTCCTATTTAAACCTAATTTTAATATAACTTTTAAGAAAATTGGTCGCACCCCACAAGTTGTTCATACCCCCCTGTTCAACCAAACATCACATCCTCCTAAATTCACAAGTTGTTCATACCCCTGTTCAACCAAACATCACATCCTCCTAAATTTTGAAGGTCCCCTTTTCAAATTCAACTTTTCTCTTGTATCAGTTAACTCCCAACCATTTGAATTTTGTTGTTGCAATGTTGAAAAGAAAAATAAGTTTCTGCAAAAATCTGAATTATCCAGACCTGCAAACAGTACCATTTTATTTTTGCACTTCTTTCTCGCTGCATCAATTTTATTTTTGCATTAAAAACCTTAACCTTCAATGCTTCAATGTTTCATTGTCATAACAGTTAAGTAAAATATTAAATGCTAGCATGATTCTTTATCCAACCATTTTAATACATCTGTTAGAGAACTCTATGTTTGGAACAAATTATTACTACAAATTGTCATATAACTTTTAAAAGACAAAGGAAAATGGCTGAATGGTATTCATGGTATAACTGTAATATTTTAACTCAGAACAAGGTAACATGAGAGAGAAATAAGGGTATGGTATTCATGGTGTAACTGTAATATTTTAACTCAGAACAAGGTAATATGAGAGAGAAATAAGGGTAAGATGGTAACTGAAAAGATGTATGTGTTCTCTTTTTATTATCAATAAATCTCGACCATGAGCCCTCACCCTAGACACTACATCCATATATATTTTATAAATTAATAAATATAGTTTATTAATAAATATAAATATATTTAAATTAATTTAGATTTAATTATATTTAAAATAATAACTATATTTGTGATATAATTTTAAAATATATTTTAAATATATTAGTAATTTAAATAAAAATTGATTTAAATAATAAATATAGTTTTTAAATTATAAATATACTTAAAATTTTAAATTATAAATTAATTTAAATAAAAAATAAAAATTGATTTAAATATAATTTTAAAATTTTGTAATATAGTTTTATAAAATAATAAATATGTTTTAAACATAATAAATATAAATAGGTTTAAATTTTAAAACATAATAAATATATGATTAACATATAATTTTAAAACATAATTCGTATATAATTAAATATATACTTTTAAAATATATAACTGTAGGTCACCTTTGAAATTTTAAAGTATATAAATTTTGTAAGAGTATTTAAGACATATCATATGGCGTACGTACTATTTAATTTTTCTATAAATACAGCTGCAAACGCATATATTTTTCCACAACATTTTATACCAAAAGACTGAAGTCTTAATAATTTTGAGTGGAGTGGAGTCCAGAATATCTACATTTCTAAATCAACGTTCGTCGTCGTCGTCAGCATCGGAGGAACCATTTCCTCTAATGAAAAGAAATGCCTTAGTTTATTTTTCAGCAACAAAGCCTCCGATGAAGGTGCTCCTGTGGAATACGCAGACGTTGGAGCATTTGCATAGGGAACCGAACCTCTGGCTAGAAGGAGATATTGCTGCAGGTGAAAAGATTAGGTAAATTGAGAGGTTGGTTGAGGAGGCAGGGAGAAACGGAGTTACTCGTGAATGGAGAAAAGTGGAAAATGATGTTGGTGTCCTTGTGATGATGTTAACACCCAAGAAGATAACGTTGATGGTTGTGATATCGTAGACACTTTGATTCATTATTCTGTTTTATGTCTTTATGTTGTTGTTATTTTCAGAATGTTGTTGTGATATTAAGTTATGTTTGTTTAATTTATGTTGCTTGCTAACTGTAATCGGTTAAGTATGCTTTAAGTGGAATGAAATTTGCTATTGATTTAAAGGGACACAGTTACATATGAAACTATGATCTGCTGCTTGATCCTACGTTAGGACATTTTGTACGATTGTGTCCTGGTTGCCGACATGAACTACACAATCTTACCATCTTGTTTGCGGTATCCATCTCCGTTCGAATGTGCGTGTTGTTAAGGTGACCCTTTTTCTTTCTTCGTATCAAATCATTATGCTAGACAATTTCGCCTTCGTATTGAGGCCAATAGTTCTTCTTTGCCACCACCTGAAAGCTACATGTGTAGACATTGCATAGATTTATCACTTGGTGAACTGCAGAAAGAAGGTTGGCTGGGTCCTGGCGCGCCTTCAAACATGCTGCTATAACAGAAGAGCAGGGCATACGAAATGCCTGAAACTTCCCACAATCACACCAGTTCCTATCCAGTTCAACACGGTAACATCCCCTAGGCCTTCCTTCATTATGATCAATTGACTCGACAACACTGAACCAACCTTTATTACGGTCAAAGATTGTGACCACATGTGTGTTGGCTTTGGCAACTTCGTCTTTCATGAATGTTGTTGAACTATTATTGTGCAGCTGACCAGATTCTAATATTGAACCCCACTTCGTACGTCTGTTATCAAAGAGTGTGCCTAACCTAAAATATGTTGCCTTTACCAAGGCAGTTATCGGTAGGTTTCAGATTCCCTTGAAAACATAATTTATTGATTCAACGAGGTTAGTTGTCATATGACCCCATCGCACCCCATTGTCGTATGCCTGTGTCCATTTCTCTTTATCAATGTTATCAATCCATCTTAATGCATCCGCGTTTGTTAGTATGATCTCGTCACGGTAGTGTTTGAATGTGGGCTCTGTTAGTGCATATCCTGCGTTCACAACCTTCTTTCGTAGTGTTTTGTCTTTGATTTCACGCATGAAATTTTGGGCGATATGTCTTATGCAATACACATGGGTCGAGGGAGGATCCTGCCAACCGTTATCAAGGTTATTTATGCACTCTTAATTGATGGGTGTCTATCAGAGATCAAACATAAGTTAGGTTGGGGAGAAACGTAAAAGCGGAGATTTTTTAAGAAAAAACTCCAAACCCCAGCAACCTCCTCTTCAACTATAACGAAGGCTATTGAAAAAATGTTGTTGTTCCCGTCCTGTACCACAACCATGAGTAGGGTGCCCTTATATTTCCCGTATAACCATGTGCCGTCAACTTGAATTATAGGTTTACAATATGCAAACTCTTTGATGCATGGTTCAAACGCCCAAAATAGTCTGTGAAAAATGTCATTTCCACCAACGCAAGTCCCGTCTGGTGTACACGCTGACATTGTCTCCAATATGGCAACAATCCCTGATGAGTATTGTTTAAGAGCCACCAAGAATTTTGGAAGTTCCTTGTAAGACTCCTCCCAATTTCCAAACACTCTTTCAACCGCTTTAGTCCTAGCAATCCATGCTTTTCGGTATGAAGGAGTGTAATTGTACCTTTGAACCATATATGCAATTATGGTACTCACCTTCAAAGACGGGTTGTCGCTAATAACTGAAAGAATCTCATCACAAATCAATCGAGAGCTGAGCTTGCGATGGTTCTGCATCATATTCGAGATTATACAAGTGTGGGCTGGACCCATTGACCCTATCTTCCAGGAATCACTTCTCTTCCTGAAAGACGTTGTTTATCGGAACAGACACACCTCGTTACGATAATAGATAGTATACCGAGTTGGATTTGTCCGATCGACTTTATAATATGCTGATAAGTCCCTGTGATATTGTTTAATTGCTCGAACACAATCTTCTTTGATACGAAACTCGTCACCCTCTTTTAATTGCCCTTCTGTTGCGTAGTTCGGGTTGTAAAAAACATCTGTTGAGGGTTCATCGTCACCTAAGTCGAGAGTTGTCATGTGTTGAGGTGGGCAATAAATATGGCTGGGTGGAACCCCCTCTTCCTCGTTGTTCACCATCTCGTCAACAGTGACTTCAGTTGCTTCTTCTTCTTCGTCAATGACATTGACTTCAGGGTGTTCCTCATCAAATTCACAAAAAACTTGAGAAGAATCAAGTTGTTGAGACAGTTGTTGTTGTTGTAACGTAACATGTAACACGATATCTGAGAAACCAGAATACTTGTGATTGTGGAACATATTACGCACATCTTCATCATCTCGAACCTTTAATGCGAAAAATTTGCATTCACTTTACCCGTCAAAAAACACTGGATTTTTGTATATTATTTGGCCAACTAGACCACATTGCAGTTTTTTTTCTAATCTTGACTTCAAGTGTAAAAAATTTGACCTTCTATCAATTAAAAATCTCGTAACATCAGTATTTCTAAAATTGTAACCGACTATGTCACATTCAAAACCGTTAAGATGTGCACTAATTATGTATTGTGGTGTTTGAGACATAGCGAAAATTGTGTTTGGAGGGACTGTTTTACTAATTGATATGATAATAATTCAGATCTCTCTA